TGACTCCATCTTAAACTGGCAGGGAGCCAATACACCACTGGCATCAGTGTGTATGCTCCAACTCTTAATGCTGTCAATGAAACCAAAGAGGAATTCTATGCCAAACTTGACCAAGTCCTTTCTGATATTCTGGAGGGAAATAGGCTTATTCTGCTTAGCAATTTCAACACCACAGTTGGAAGAGACTCAAACCTCTGGAACAGAACAATCAGCAAGGAAGTAGTGGGAAAGATTATCTCCCATGGCATCCTCCTCTTGACCAAATGCACAGAATATGGACTTATTGCCACCAACATCCTGTTCTGCCAGAAAAAACAGGTACAAGACATCATGACAACACCCAGAATCTAAGCATTGGCACCTGCTTGACTAGGTCATTGTTCATGCCCGGGATTGCGAAGATGTCCACATCACCTGAGCTATGCTAGGAGCTGACAATTACTGGACTTATCACCGATTCATCTGCTCAGTTATATCACTAAAAACTGACTCCTAAGTGATAGCTGCAGCAGAAGCAATGCCAACAGAAGATTAACATCAAAGGACTCAAGGGCCCAATGAAGCAAGACCTCTTCCACCAGTGCCTCAACGAAAAACTGAAAAATCCCAGTCAACAACAATGGGATAATGTTGGCAGTGCTTGGGGTGCCTTCCAGTCCACTGTCATCAGCACCTGCAAAGAGACACTCGAATTCTCTACAAGAGAAACATCAAGACTAGTTTGATGAGAATGACCAGGAGATGCAAGAGTTGATCAAGCACAAGTTCTTTTCTGCTTGGCAGAATTACATCAACTTCAAGTAAAAGAAATTGAATCTACAACAAGCCAGGGCAGAGGTAAAAAGATGGATCCACAATATGAAGAACAGATGGTGGGAAGAAAAGACGAAGAAGATTCAACATCTTGCTAACATCCATGATGTGTGTGATTTTTTTCAATGCCACCAAAGCCAGGTATGGTTTGAGCACTCAGGGACCAACACCCTTGAGATTTATAGATGGGGGAGACCTGATCAAGGAAAGGTGGGGAGCATTTTGAAGACTTTCTCAATTGAGAAAGTGTTCTCAACTCCATCTCACAATACCCAATCAGACATGATCTTAGAATTCCTGCAACTTTTGACAAGGTAAGGAAAGCCATCAAGCAGATGAACAACAAGGCATATGGAGCTGAAGAAATCCCCACTGAAATCTTCAAGCAGGGGGAAGAGGAGTTCACATCACTGCTCCATGCCCTCAATTTAAGGATTTGGAATGATAAGGAAGTCCCAGATGACCTCAGGGACAATGATTGTGACAGTCTTCAAGGAAGGGGACAAGTTCGACTGTGGAAATTACAGAGGAATCATCTTACTGTCTACCACAGGGAAGACTGTTACAAGAACCTTCATGAACCATCTCCTCCCAATGGCTGAAGAGCTCCTCCCAGAATCTCAGTGTGGGTTTACAACATCAAGAGGCATAACTGACATGATCTTCATAGCTCACTAGCTGCAGGAAAAATTCTCAGAACAACATCAACCTCTCTAAATGGCCACCTTTAACCTCACAAAAGCCTTTGACTCTTCAACACAAGAGCCTTTGAGTCTTTGACACAAAAGCCTGTCAACCAAGAAGCACTGTGGAGGATCCTTCTGAAGTATGGATGTCCCCTGAAATTCATCACCGTTCTTTGTCTGCTCCATGATGGTATGCAAGTGGTAGTTCTCAAAAATGGATCTACCACAAATCCTTTTGAGGTTAAGATGGGTGTTAAGTAAGGCTGTGTTATTGCTCCAACACCCTTCTCGATATTCCTTACTAAGAGGCTACATCTAACCAACAACAAGCTTCCAGTCAGAATGGAGCTAAACTACCAAATGAATGATAAAATGCTTAATCTCAGCCAACTCCAAGCAAAAAAAAAGGCAGCCCCCACCTCAATCATTGAGCTCCAACGTGCTGATGATGCTCATTTGGAAGCAGACCTTCAGGCAATTGTCAACATCTCTACCAAGGCATACAAAAAAGTGGGACTTACGCTTAACATTCAAAAGACACCCCTACATCAACAAGCTTTTAATGAGCAGTCTCCAGATCTGGTAATTCAGATTATCAATGAGACTCTGGAGAACATTGAGTCCTGTACCTCAGAAGTCATCTCTCACAGAAGCCTGACATCAAAGAAATCCAACATCACCTCAGATATGTAAATGCAGCCTTTGGACACCTGAGAAAAAGGGTGTTCAAAGATTGTAACATCAGATCCAAAACTAACCTTATGGTTTATCAAGCAGTTGTGATCCCCACCTCACTCTACAGAGCTGAGATGTGGACAATGTACAGGAGATGCCTCAAGTCATTGGAGAAGTATGATCAATGTTGCTGCAGAAGATCTTTCAAATCAAGCGGGAAGACCGATGCACCAACATTAGTGTCCTCTCACAAATAAATGCCACAAGCATCAAGGAGATGATAATCTGACATCAGCTTCACTGGCCCAGCCACATCATTTGGATGTCTGACTCCAGACTCCCAAAGCAAATTCTCCCAGCTCAGTCAAGGTACATGCTCAAGAGGAGGTGCAAAAAAACTGCTTCAAGGATGTCCTCACGGACAGTTTAAAAAAATGCATCAACATCAACTCATGGGAGATCAGCCTCATCGGCTACTTCATACCCACAGATAGAACAATCATGGAAGACAAATCACCCTCAACTGTGAGAGGGATTGCTGAAGGTCTGGAAGGGGCCTCCAGCAGTCATCCAGTCCAACCCCTGCCTGAGGGAAGATCATCTGTGTCCAAACCATTGTATACAAATCCATGATTTAACTTTTGCAAAAAACTATCATCAGCCTTGATACAACACACACGACATAACACCCCAACCTGCCACAGGTAAAGCAGGGAAACCACAGCAACCAACATCCTGTTCTATAAAAACATAGTTAATATATGCTCAAGAAATCCCAGGTAGAAGGACATGCCCTCCGCTACAAAGGCAGGCAAAAATCCCTCACAGTCTATACCAGGGGCAGACAAAATATGGTCTGCAGGCTGGAACAGGCCTGCCAGGTGATTCTGCCCAGCCCAAAGGGTTCTTCCAAAAGCCAAAAGGCAATTCTCATAAGTCCTGGCCCCTGGTTGCCCCTCTGAAAGCCAGCCCCTCCATACAGGAGGTGCCAGCACCCACTATAGCATCAGCTCTGGCTCTGGTTGCTAAGCAACTAACCCCGACCCCAGCCTGGCCTAATTTGCCCAGCCTGCAGACCCAAGGTAGATGCTGCTGGCGATGAGAAGCTTCTGTCTGACAGATTTTGCATGGCAAACCTGTGGCTGTTTCCCAGCCCTCCCTCCCTGCAAGACCGGAAATTCAGGTAAGAGCCCCACTGGGCCAGTGGCCAGGGACTCCTGTTGAGGGCTGGGAACGCAGGGAGCTGCCCTCTATGGGGCCGGGCTGGCCCTGCATGCTACTGCCACATGTGGCTGGGGACTCTGGCAGATGTGCAGGAGCTGCAAGCCATAGGGCCCAGCTGGGCTGGCCCTGCATTGCTGCCACATGCAGCTCCAAACACCCATCCATCCACACACCCACCATACCCCACACTCACCCACACTCCCCAACCATACCCACACCATCCCACACACCCCACCATACCTCTGCCCCCGCAAACCTCCCCACACACCCCACATCCACACATACACCCACATCCTCCCACACATTCCATACACACATGCCCATGCACCCCATATTCCACCATACCCACCCCACCCCACACACACACACACCCCTGCATACACACCCCCACTCCCCCACACAATATACTAAAGTAGGACTTTATTTTGAGCTATTATGCAATTGCCTCTATATACACTATGCAAGCACACATAAATCAAGGCAAAAAAAATTTTGGCATAAAATTAAAATGTTATAGTAGATGTTTGATTTTTAGTATGCGTTTTTTTTCTGGTTCCAAGTTGGCAAACAAGTCCTCCACCCCTTCCCAAAAGAAGAACTTCCAAGGCAAGGGAAGGGACTTCCAGTGTCAAAGGTCAGGAGTTAGGGGTGGGACTTAAGGTTCCAAGATGGCAACCAGGGGACAGGGCACCAGTCAAGGGGTGGAGCTAGCTTTGCGACCCTCAACAACTCACCAACACTTATTAAGCAGCCCTCCAGCCAAAATAATTCCCCCTCCCCAGTCTATGCCAATCTGACCATGGAGTACAATTCCTTCCTGACCCCAAATATAGCAAATGATCTGGCCCTGAGCGGAGGGACAAGACCTTCTAGTCAGGAACCTCTTCACAGGGGAGAGGCCACCTCAAGATTGTATCTGACTTTTACCTATCTACACCACAGCTTTCTAACATGTCCCCCATTCCCTGTGCCAATATTAATTTTTTTACATATACTATTTTGCCTGTGGATCACTTGCCTCATTCAATGTACTAATAGGAGGGTGCTCAGGAAACTTATCGTTAGCCTTCATGTTCACTGAAACTATTGCTGCCTAACCCCTCCATCTAGTTCAGTGGTTTTCAACCTTTTTTCATTTGTGGATCCCTAAAAAATTTCAAAGAGAGGTGTGGACCCCTTTGAATTGTAAGTGTGGGTATTCACATATCTTTAATTGATCACAGTCATCTTTCATAGACCTCTTAGACATAGTTTGCAGACCCCTAGGGGACTGCAGCCCACATGTTGAAAACTGCTGATCTAGTTGCCCAGATACACTCTTGTTATGCCCAAGTAATTTTAAGTCAGCCACTTACTTGAATTTCTTCCAGTGTGGTAACAGCAATACTGGGCGCAAAATAAAACAAAACTTGTTACTGTCCTTGTTTCATGCACTGCATGCTCCTAAATACTGGAGGAGACCAGGTTCCTGAAAAAAAGCTGTGAGAGCTTGGGACTCCTGTGGCTGTGACTTTGACACAGAGGCTTGCAGGTTATGCCTAAAATCTGTGCATTAACAATTCCATTGTAGTGTCTTGTTAAGACACCACTTAACACACCAAACCCATTATCATTTAAAAGGTTTTTAGTACTAGTTGGCCTGTTTAATGAGAACTGTCTCCTCATTGACCTTTTAAACTATATATTAAATGTAGCAATAAATACCATCCTCTTTTATTTTATTCTGCATGCTACTCATGCTCACTTCAACAGTTAAGTAGGTGTGTGGATGATTAGTGTAGAACTCCTTAAATTAATAAACCTCAGGATGTATGCTTATTCAATAGTTATAAAACAACAGTCAATTAAGCAGCATTGTCTGTCAGCTGAGCATTTGCAGTTTGGCTTGTATGACTACATCAGTATCCAAACTGCGTTAGCAGTTTTGCACATGCTCTGTTTGCCTTTGTGAATCCTCATTCTCCCATTGAGATTTCTGTTTGTGTAAGGGCAGCATTCTTAATGCTGATGCTGGGTGAACTGCAGTGGCTCTCTCAGTCCTGATCAAAGACAATTTGACCCTCTTATACTATTGGTTTTGCAAGACCTTAAAGCTCAGTTAGGTCATTTCCAGGGACATCTTTTTAAATGGGTCCTTAACAAACAAAATATACCATTCCCTTTATACAAGTGACAATGTCTTTTCCTTGACAACAACCTGCAGCCGTAAAGCAAGTTTAATTCTCAGACGAGAAAACTGCCGACAGCAATCCTTGCATATATTGTTTACTGTAATATATGAGATTTTTCCCTGGAAACCACGGAGATGGTATTTGCCTTGTCTAATTGTAAACAATAAGATAGACCATAATGGATTTTAGCACCTCTTCAGTGTTTGATCAGCACAAAGGTAAGTCGCTTGCTACTAATTTCAAGATCCATTGGTCTGAGCATGCCTGTTGTAACTGTATGATTACCAGCCAGAAAGAATACCTTACATTTTATGAACGAGCACTTATCTAACTGATTTTTTCTTGCATATGGATCAGAAAAAAGGACCATCTTTTTTCATTTGTTTCAAGGACAAATATTTCAGCCTTCTAAAATATTGATCTCACCATAGCAAAAACATTTGATTATTTTCTGAGATTTAATATGAGATTTTTGTAGACAACAGAAACAGCATTAACAAATACAACTACTTAAAATATGCTGTTCAAATTGTAAAAACTCAAATCCTTGACTGAGTTTATTTTCATAATTAAACACAATAATTGTGGTACTATGAGATGTAGTGAAGGAAACATGCTGATAAGTAATTTGCATTACTTCAAGAAATCATGGGTAAACTATATTATGTACCCAACACAAGATATTAAAATAAATCCTAAAGATAATTTTTCTGCTGCCAGGACTAGGTTGCTATGGGAATATAGATGGAACTTGGTTGTCTATATTGAAACAAAATGGTTGATTTTTTACTTCTTGAGTGATCTATACATGATTTTCTTCCCTTATTGCTTAATTCACTAATATTCCATGTTCCATTATATTCTTATTCCTTTCACAAAGTAGGAAATATCCATGGTTAAAACTTTTCTCTTGCACCAAATTCTTCTTTAATGACTTATGAACAATATTCTCAGTTTTCAGTATATACTTGCAAAATGTGCCAGCTAATTAAGCAAGAGTTGAACCCAAAACTAATATTCTTTGCTCAATGAGTATGCAAAATGACTGAGGTTAAATTGAATAAGTAACTTAGCACCTACAAGCTAGGTGCTGCAGCACCTGATTTCTGGGTGCCCATGTACACTGCATCAGGAGAAATGGACAATTCAAAATGGTGATCCAAGAAACTTGCACGAGTGTAGGAAACCCCTAGTACTATTCACTAAGAATTTATGATGAGTGTCTATGTAATCCTTCAGACCTTGCTCAGCTAGTTAAAACATCAAGATCACACCAAGATGATGAACTAGATACCCAAGACTTTTACTTACTGCTCTAGAGCAGCGCCACCTGAATCAGGACTGTTGGTAACTGCCACCATCCACTTGGGAGTCACAGGTTAGAATCCTTTCCTGAGGGCACGTGAAAGAATTAAGTTCTGTGAAAGATCTGAGTAGGGCTCACTCTTGACGGTAGCAATGGTAGTGATGCCATTTTTTCCCATCTTCTATGTACTATCCTGGTGGTACAAGAACTCCTCAGGAGTTCTAGGCCCTCCCCAATATGAAAAAAATTCAAACTCACATCTTCTGCCTCCTTCCTGAGGAGAATGCCCTAACCACCAAGCTATAGGGTGATAGGAGGCACTCCCCACTCTGTTTTCAAAGATTTTCTGTAAGAATTTGCAAAATTCCTGATGCCAGAGACAGTCTTTCAAAATGAAAGACTTGAGTCTTTAACATGGTGATTAGGGATCTCTTTGAGTTCTGGTTCTTGTTGCCAGGTTTATTTCTATATTTTCTATTCAACAATCATTCAATAAAACAGAGATATGGACTGAGAAGAGGTCTCTGGTCTCCTCTACTGCAGATAAGTGCTCTTACCATTAAGCTACAGAGTAAGTCTCCCTGTTGTGTGCTGTCTCGTTGGTCTCGGGTATCTTGTATTCCTTTCTGCTCAGTGGAACAGAATCAAAGGGTCGGAAGGAGAGCACCCACCAACACCTAACCTAAACCTGGCGTAGGCCTCTCAGGGGCATATGCTGCTCACACAAAGGCTTTGCCTCATTGGCAAACCTGACCAATGCATGAACTCCTCACATACAAAAACTTGGCATGTAAGCCAGATGTACATTCCTACCAAAAGATGGGAGGAAGAAATGGTGTTACAAGGTAGAATAGTCCAGTACCAGGATGATAAGGCTGGAACAGGAACACACAGATCAGAATGTGCACCAAGCCCCTGGCACAGGACAGTTTTAGACATTCAAGGTACAGATGGAATTCAATACATCATTTTTTATCATTGTATAAAAGGAGAATTGGAAAGCAGGGAAACTTTGCAGTGGCTTGTGGGAGCCTGCATGGTGTCATGCTGACTATCTTGTCATAGGTACAAATGCCTTAGCTCCTCATCTGATTTACTTGTTAGGCCAAAACATGTTAAGGCTGTGCTCGTAGACAATAAGCCTGGCTGAAACTTTACCACCAAACTGGGCCTGCGTTCATTCTTTAAGGCAAGATTTTGTTGGGATCTCCTGGCTGCAACTTTTGCTGGCACTTCAGTTCCTGAGACTTCAACATTGACAGCACATCAATAACACCCAACGAGGACAACAGCAAAGATGACACTGATAACCCCAAAAAACACCTCATGGTTAGGGCACTTCCTGGGAAGGTGGGAGATGCGCATTTAACCCTTACAGGCTAGGACATTCAACCCACTTCCCACTTCCTGGATAAGTCATCTTTCAGTTTGAAAAAGACCATAACAGCATTTTGTGAGGAGTTGCCCAAGCCTATCAGCATGTAGTAGGCCTGCTCAGAGAATGCCTACTGGATTATACCTTACAGGAGACCTGGTTTCTGGATCCTGATCAGAGATAGGTGGAAGCTAGGCACCAAGCTGCTGAAACTAAACAATTTTGGGCATGTGCAGAAACAAAAGTGGTACCTAGGAGGCCTGTGCAAAGTGCCTAGTATACAGATTTGGCCGATTTGGGGGACAATGGTTCGATTCGGTGTTTCAAATCACTATCCTGAATCAATTCGGCCAAATCCAATTCAGAGATTCGGCCACCGCCAAGTTGGCCGAATCTCCGAATCAAACAGGCCCCATCCCCTATCTGTTCTCCCAGCCCTGTCAATGGCTGTCCCACCCAGCCCCAGCACCCCAGAACTTTTTTTTTAAAGCCCTGCACTCACCAGCTGCTGCCAGGCGGGGGCGCAATCCCCGCTGCCCCCCACTGCCCTGTGCTGCATGGAGGGCTCTGCCACGAGCCCCCAGAAGTCCCAACCGCTGCTGCAGCAGCCAGTGACTATGGGGCTTTTTGCTTTCTTTTTTTTTTTGAAGAGCTGGGATGCTGGGGGCTGGGAGAGCGGGCGGGGGTCAGGGAATGGAGCCTGGCAGAGGTCCCCCCATGGTCCCTTCCCCCCTCATCTAGTCCCCGCTCTATTTACCGGCATGAAGCCTGGTTGCAGCTCCCTGCGGCAGCGAGCAGGGACTGCCCAAATTGCCAAATCTTTCTGCAAATTGATTCAGACATTTTTATTGGTCTCCTGATTCAGATTTGGCAATTCAGCCACCAAATTGGACCGAATCTCCTCTGAATCGAATCAGCACCTGAAGCGTCACACAGCCCTAGTGCCTAGTTAATCAGGCCCCTCAAGGGAGCAGTTTAAAACCAAAGTTTAAAACCAACTTCTTGGCAGTGGTAGCAGTATTTCTAGTCAGGCAATGCTGAGGAGGTCAATTGACTTCATGGCTCAGTATAATCTACCCGATTCTTTCTAAACTCTTCATTCCACAGATGTTAACAACCCTCTCTTCTTTTTGATGGTCTTGATGTTTCACTGCTCAAAATCTCCTTTGTTATGCAATTCTGGTGTCTGACAGCTGCTCCTGGTAATGAAACCCCTGTCTCTCAGCCCTGCAGATTGTTTAAACTCATTCCAATGAAGTTATGTTTGTTTTTGCTTCAATCTTAAACTGAATAATACAGCCCTCAGCCCCTAGAATATTAGTAAAGCTTGTAGTTTCTTTTAACTGGACAAAAATGCGTTGTTTTATACGTAATGATGCACCTCACCATCTGCACCCACCTTTTCAGAATTCTAGATCCACCCATGTCAGTGGCCACCTGTTCAGTGACTGAGCAAAACACAATTTTGTCACTGTCAGTTTATTGATCCATTTTAATCTTAGTGTTTCCCTTTAAACATGTCCTTGTTTTATAGCAGAGAAATAAAATCCTCATAGCTTCATTGTGTTGACATATTGCAGCTTCCCAACTGAGCATTCTTGTTAAATATTCTCTCTTGTTAGACATGCTTGAAGCATCATAAAACCAACCACAATATCCATAGTTTCATTCTAGCACAGACGCAATAAAACATAAAGTTAAAGGAAGAGGGAAAGCTTTCAGAATTCCTTTTGTGGGTTGTTTCACAGGATAGCCCCTCTTTGCCAGGCTACTGCTTCCAGACTGGAAGAAAGATCTTTTTCCAAGATGAACAGATGCTAAACTAGTCCAAGAGCATGCAGAGGAGAAGAACAGGTGGAGAAAATAGCTACATGATCCCATCATTGTAGATCCTTCAGCCCTCCTCTCCCTGCTACAGTGAACTCACTTGCAGTAAAACATCTGCCTTTCTTCACTGGTTCCACAAGTGCCCCTAGAACAGGGATGGACAAAATATGGCCCAAGGGCCATATCCAGCCCATCAGGCCATTCTATCTGGCCTGCCAGGCCCCTAAAAAATTTAGAAAATTAATATTTATTAGGGGTGGAGCCTGACAGTAGCACCCAAGGGAATCCCTGTCAGGCTCCACCCTCCAAGCCAGAAGCCCTTGCTTAGCAGGGGCTTCTGACCTGGGACCATGGGGCTGTTCATGCCTGTGCCAGCACTCACTCCCAGTGCCCCTGCCCCCACCCCAGCCCCGTGCAACCCTGGCCCCGTGCCCCACAATTGCCCATCTAGACTGAGCATTGGTGGCAAGGAACGAGCTGGTGCTCAGCATGGGGAAACAGCGCCGCCTCCCCCCCATGTCCAGCACTTCCTGCTGCAGCTGCTCACAGCCCATGTGAGGCTGTCCTGCCTCTCTACCACATCACTCCTGCTCTTCAGGGCAGTGGTGACAATGAAGAGTAGGCACAGGCAGCCCCATGCGGGCTGTGAGCAGCTGCAGCACAGGCCACTGGCCACGGGGGGTGGGGCGCGTCCCCCCTGCACTGAGCAC